AGAATCAATGTGGGACAACTAACAAGTGATACCACATAGAATTTTAGAGAATCAGGGCAAGAATATTCCATTAGACTTATAAAGTAGACCTGTTTTTCATATATAAATAATGTAGGACAACTCACAAAGGATATTGTAACATGCTCTCTCACTTGTGAGTCCTTCATAAGAAGCTCAAGTCCATATACGGAGCCGGGTGTCCAAGCTCAGGAAAGCCCAGATGAAATCCAAGTGAGGTTCCATCTCAAAATCAATTGGTGGTAGAAGGAGGAGCCCACTAGACTTATAAGGTGAACCTATTTTTCCTGTATAAACGATGTGGGACCACTCACAAGTGAATGTTCTAATACGTCCTGACACTTGTGAGTCCTTTATAAGAAGCCCAAGTCCATACACGGAGCCGGGTGCCCAAGCCCTACTAGAAATAGGTTGGGTAAACGGTTACGTCATTGCACGGTTCTAAATAGAACTGACTCTGATACAATAAATAAACAGGGGTTGACGGGTGCGGTTCCACGGGCAAGCGCACAAATAAATAAAACTTAATAACATTCGAATCATAATACACTACTAGAATGAATTAAAAATTAAATTACTCAAATTTCGTGATTCTATAAGTTTAGATTAACCCGCTCGTGTAGACTATGGAATAATGGAGTGTATAAATTAGTTTTAATTATATTTTGCACGCAATAAAGTTAATTCTTGTACTTTTCTTTTTCCATCTTATTTATGTTGATTGGAAACGTAACCATCGGAGTAGATTATAAATTGTAAAATGAAACAAGCTGTCTAACTTGACTCTAACGAGATTAATGTTCGAATTTGAGGGTGCAAATAATTTGAGTGAAAAAAAAAAATGTCCCTATATCACTTTCCACAATATTTAATTTTTTATTTTATTATTGTTTTTGTGGAAAATCGAACAACTTAATTACAACTATGCGTGTTTCACGGTTGGCAAAATTGCTTTAACAACCTAAAATCAGGCAATTATATGCTGTGTAAAGTTGGCATAATTACAATTTTAGTCATGTTGGTTTGACCTCTAGGAGCGTTTTTAGTCTTAAGAATTGAACATTTTAGCTAGTTGATCATTTGATTATAAAATTCAATGCAACTTTAATCTAAAATCGGCCTGCCATCACTCCGAAGGCTAAACTCAAAGCGAAAGCCAAAACAAAAGAGGACTGAAAATGCAACATAATACTAAATTACAGGACTTAAATTACTTCAAGTCCTGTAATTTTAAATTTTGCTGCAATTTCAGTCTCGAAGGACTACAATAGCAACAAAATACTATTTTACAAGATTAAAAAACATAAATTTAAAATTTTGAGACTAAAAATACAACAACGTTCAACCAACAGAACTACATATGCAATGTGGCAGTGTAAAGTTAGTCAACAAATTTGGATATTTGAATTTAATTTCATTGTCATTTGAATGATAATTTTAATTTTTGAGCTCATTTAAGCATGAATTAGTATGTCATATATATAAGCACGTGTGGTTCATTAAGTCACTCATGCCTTTTTGAATTGTTGAAAAAAAAAAAAAAATTGGCAGTAGAATTTTCATGAATGCTTGACTGAAAAATTATGCTTTTCCAAAATCTTCTATATAGACTTTTTATTTAGGGCCATTAATTGTGACATATTTTTCCTTAGCTCCAAATTGTGCAAACATATTTTGGTATATATACATAATTTGTTAAAAATTATTCTTATTTTATTTTGAATTTCGAGTAAAAATGTAAAGTAAATTACGGTTATTATTAACAACGTCGTATAGTTCGTGCGATATTGTACCAAAAAATATTTGAAAACGTAAATTACTAAATAAATCTCATAGTAGTTCTTGTTAATATATCATTTAAAAGTTATATATTAATGCTTGGAACGGTTTTTTACATCCAATTTTATATATTTAGTAACTTATTATTCACAACTTTATTAAAGCCAGCTGATATTTGACAGTCAGAGTTGTTGGACGATATAAGCGACAACGCCATTAAACAAACGCAACCAATGAATTATATTTATAATAAGAAATGATTTTCCTATTTAACATTAAAATCATATATTATATTATTGTATATTCATTTATAATCTCAATAATGTTTCATAACTATTATAAATATATACTATTATAGTTTGTTATTTTATTTTATTTTTATTTTTGGAAAATAAATTTTATTTTCTATGAAAAATAATATATTGAAATAAAAAAATAGCACTAATGATGTTCGTCCAAGTGGTCCAATTAATAAAAATTATCGTGACATGCTTGCTTTTTAATTACTTAAGTAAGTGCATGTTGTTCTTTATCAAGTAAAAGAAGAGATAAACCTAATGAAAAAAAAAAGTAATTAAGCTACTGTTAATCATGATTTTTTTTTTAGGTACAGAGAAAAAGAGGCAAAAACCTAGATGCTAGAGATTAGAACACTTCGTGTGTAAGAGATCACGATGTTGATAACATCAGCCATTGTCGAGCTTCAACCAGTGGCTCATCTAATAGGTGAAATCCTCCCGGGCTTCGTGCGGCAACGGCGGGCCATGCAATCGGCAACAAAATTAGATTCACGATATCCATGAACCAGCTTCATCAACCATGGCCTCGTCAATGATTCTCGTATAGACCTTACCAATGAGCTATGGACCCCATGCTCCTCCCGCTCGTATGCTGTTTATAATCATGATTAAAACATCTTTAAAACGCACAATCAAATCAACTAATGACACCAGCCTTAATTAGAACATTGGAAACTCGAAAGTGATGTAATGAGAAGGTTCCCGTGACATGGGCGCTGACGTCACGCACATCCTCAAATATATAACCAAATATTTATATTTAAGAAGATTAATTAAGAAAACAATTAATTATCATTTTTATATTCAACTCATCACAACTTAGATAGTTGTCCATTTTTTTTATTTTTTTTTTTTTTTTTT